GGCCACCTCTCGGATTGGGTTGTTTAAGACTCGGAAGAAGACTGACAAGCAATGATAGCGAGCATAGCTATAAACATAGTGGATGGAGTGCACAAGGAGCCTTGTTCCTGTAGAAGGTTGCTGGCCTCTTCAGTCAAAGGATTTCAGCTGTCTTCAAGTCGGTGGTTTGGTTGTCCTTGTTGATCTGGCTAGCGGGCGGCGTCATTGGCGACAGGCTTCCCGAATCTTCAGCGAGTTGAAAGGCTGCATCAAAGGGTCCATCAGGGCCACTCTTGATGATGGTGTCGGTGTCTGGGGAGGAGTCAGCTGTGCCCTCTGGGTCAGCTGATATGGAAGATACCGGGGAGGAGGAGGAGGAGGCGGAGATCTCTGTATCCATTTTTTATTGGGTGATTAGTTTACTCTGATATAAAGAAGTTAAGAGCTCCTTATATCTTTTATAAATAGTAATTTTTTATTGGTTATATGCCACTAATATTTATTCCAGCTTCTGGATTTTCTTTTCATTTCCTTTGTTGCCTTTTCACAAACAGAAAAGACATTTTGTTCATTAAGGAACAAAAATTTTAACTTGGATATAGTTGAATTTATCATTCTTCTTTTATGGCTGGAATGTATTACAGAAAATTCTTTTATAAACTGAAGTCATAAATATATTCTCTTATATGTTACACTAAATTTTACATTTTGCCTTTCACCTTTGTGCCCTAATCCATTCAGAATGAGGATAACATTGTCTCTGCACTATTTATTGACTAGCTGGTTCTTTCCCCACTGATTTGCAATGACCCCTATGTTATATGTAAGGAGAACCTACCTATACATGCAGGTCTGCTTCTGGGCTCTCTCCATTGAACTGTTTGTCTCTCCTTTAGCCAATATCACTCTATTCAATTTTATTATCTTTATGATAACTCTTGATATATGTTAGGGCAATCCCTCCCTGTGCCGTATACTTCTTTTTTAAAGGACATTTGGGAATTTCTTGGCCCTTTGTTTTCAATTTAAATTTTATAATCATCTTATGAAGGTCCATAAAAATCCTATTAGGGTTTTAATTAGAATTGCATTAAAGCTATAGATCCACTAAGGAGAATTGACATCTTTGGGATAGTAAGTCTTCTTTATCCATTTATTTAGGTGTTTTTTTAAATTAATCTTATCATTGTCTCCATAAAGTTTTCACATCATTTATTAGACTTATCTATGGATACTTCATACTTTTGAAAATCTTATGAATAGCATTCTAAGTTATACATTTTTAAAAAAATATATTTTATTGATTTTTTTTACAGAGGGGAAGGGAGAGGGAGAGGGATAGCGAGTTAGAAACATCAATGAAAGAGAAACATCGATTCAACTGCCTCTTGCACGCCCCCTACTGGGGATGTGCCTGCAACCTAGGTACATGCCCTTGACCGGAATCGAACCTGGAACCCTTCAGTCCGCAGGCTGACGCTCTATCCGCTGAGCCAAACCAGCTAGGGCCTAAGTTATACATTTTGATCTGTATAGCTGGTATTTAAAATTCAATTTATTTTTTTCAATTGATTTTTTATTAATCCAGAAAGCCTGATAAATTCTCTTTTTAATTATAATGTTTTTCCCTAGTTTCTCTTAGTTTTTTTTAATGTAGCCAATCATATCATATATGAAAAATGCCAGTTAAGATAAGATTTATTGGAGCCTTGAGACAATGGACACTGTATGTGGCTTTATAAAGTATAGACTTTTGATCTTGTCTCTTTTGTAAGTTACCTTATATAACTCTGACAGTTTTTACATTTACAGAACTCTTCAAAGTTTCCATCTATACTATGAATTTATTGCATATAGAATCTAGCTTAAGGAAAGGAAGTAAAGCTTTGCCTTTGGTACTCTTGGAAGGGCCCAAAGGGTGATCTCATCTCACTTCATCACTTCGTAGTTAAATACACTAACACTCAGAGACACTGAGTGACTTGGGAAAGTTATATTGCTAGCTAGGGGCTGAGCTTGGATGAGAACCACGTCTCTTGATTCTTGAGCAGGATTCTATCTGTTATCCCAGGTAGTTTTCACCTTTCTTCTCCACTTTTAGATCCTATTTGCCCAACAGGACCCTGGAATCCTCATCTTGTTCCATCTCAGGGCCCTACTGCCTCTGCCCTCCATTACCAACCCTTTTTAATTGAGGGGTCACACGCCACTTCCTCCATGTCCCAGCCATAAGAGTACTACCAGAGCTCAGTGTTGAATCTAAAGAGCCATATTAATCTGAGTATCAATGACTGTTTATGGCTCAATGTGTTGCTCCTTGTCTAAAGTAGCTCGAATGCCTCACCTCATGTGAACAACTAATCATGTTTCTAAGAGTTAAATTTATTGACATCTCACTATATGCCAGACAATGTGCTTAAGGATTTATATAAATTGTGTCATGGATATTGCGTGCATGACGTCATTATCTAATTGGAGCAATGAGTTGTAAGGGACAAGTCCAGTGAGTGATATATGTAGGGACAGGTGGGGTTATTCTGCCCCTTTTTAGTGATATCACTCAGGCCCTGATGCCTTGGGCATGGGGCCAACAGATGAGAGAATCCTGCCTCTCTTCCAGCTTCTTCAGCCCTCTGCCTGGTGAGTCCTCTGTGCATGCTGCCGAATGCCCAAGCAGTGAAAATTGCTGCCTGGGTGGGATCACCAGAGCTGCTGTTCTAGACAAGATTCTCAGAGCCTAGATTGCCAACATGCCTGGGGTATTCCCGGGCTCTGAAACTCATTGTTTGCCAATGAAGTGGGGAGCTACAGGACACCATATATGACTTACGTGAAGAAGCGCCCAGAGAAGAAGCCTTTGATGTAGAATTTATCATGATTTTATACCTATCAGGAAATTGCTTTAGTACCCATCCTACTGTTTGTCAGAGCAATAACAAAACAAAAGAAAACAACTATCAAATAATAACTGTAAAAAAATAATCCAAATCTCACAAACTCTCTGTGGTGCCATTATTGTAGCTCTAGTTGAAATAATTATTTTAGGGTTTATTTATATCTATATCTATAGTAAAAGATCCAATATCTGCACAGCGCTTTGTGATTCAAAAAGCAGCACACTATAGCAACTTTGACTTTCAAAGCTGGATGTTTTTGAAGGCTCATTGCTCAGGTGCCAGTTTTGAAAGTTGGGGTGCCAGGTGTGGGGTTCAAACCCCTTGTTTCTCAGGGAGAACCTTGGGTTAGTGAGTTCCCTCCTAATTGTGGGTCACCATACTGGGATGGATTCTTGGCAAGATTGTGTCATAGGCTCTCTTATCTGCTTTGATGTGTGTGTGTGTGTGTGTGTGTGTGTGTGTGTGTGTGTGTGTGTGTGTGTGTTTCAGTCTCCCAATGTGCAAGAGTTGCTCAGCTAGTTTTTGGTGTATTTTCCCCCCAGAAGAAATTGTTCCGTATGTAGCTGTAGATTTGGGTGTCCATGGGACTAGATTAGTTCAGGATCCTCCTACATTGTCATCTTGAACTGGTCCCTTACAGCAAATTTGAGAAGATGGTTATGAGGAAACAGACTCTAAGCAATTAAGTAAATGACTGAAGGTTGATGTTTGGGTCTTATCCAAATACAGTGGTCTCTTCTTACCTACCTAATATTGCCATTACTTTGGGAAAATCAAGCCATGAATATATACATGTTCTTATGACCCACTAGGAGTGGGTGAATTTATATTGAAAGCAACTTATTTAGTGCCTTTTGAGAGTGTGTTCAAAATTCCCAGGATACTTTGCATTGTCTTATTTGAAACAGTTATAACACAGCCTCTTAGACAAACCCAGTCTCCTCCTATATGTGTACTAATTTCTGCTGTCCATATTTTTATTATCTGAATTATCTATCATTATATTATAAAGTATAATATGAAGACTTTTGAAAAACCACTCCCTTTGTATGTGTGTGTGTGTGATTCGGTTGAATGAGACTATAAAGAAGAATTCATTAATTAATGGTTTTCAACAGATAAACTGTATCTGATAATCTACGCCAACAAAGCTTAAATCATCCACTGGGGCTCAAAGGTGTTAATCATCATCTCAGTTTGTGTCAACAATGAGCAGAGCTCAACATTCAGACTAGAAAACAGAACTGGAGTGGGAGGGTCCAAGTGGGTAAGGAATGTTTTAATTGGGGTATTTAACTTTTGGATGTTTTTAGTAAGAGGACAAGATTTTAGCTAGATGAGCTCCCAGATGTGGGCTAGATGACACTGGAAGACATACAAGAAGCTAGAGACGTTCTTAAGTCTCTATGACTCTGAAGTCATTATTCTCCAGGGAATCACTACTAATTGATCAGAGCTGGCGACTAATATGAAATTTCTTTGCCATACATGATCTAGTTTAACCACATGATTTTTCATGAAAGGCAAAAAGAGTCTAGGCAGTGGTTCTCAACCTTCCTAATGCCGCAACACTTTAATACAGTTCCTCATCTTGTGGTGACCCCCAAC